TCAATGATAATAACAATTACAATGATCCTAATTGCCATAAATAACCGCATAATAACAGCCAAATTCATATTTGCAAATTCGCTTCTCAATCATTAATAAAAACAGTACAATTCCGCGTGACAACCGAAGGATTAATATCTCCGCTGAGAATAATAAAGGTTGCACTTAATAAAATAAAATTGACAACGAACTGTGTGATTTATCTTCGGTAAACCAAGTCGCACATCAATGGTTGTGTGTGTGTGTGTGTACGAGCTCACATGGTATATGCAGAAAACTTTTCTCTTCTCACGTTACAATCTCTTTCATAGGTTTTAATATGAATAATCTCTCTTGTGCGAGATGATCATCCTGAGATGCGCATGACAAAAATAAGAATCGAAGGATATATCGAAGGATTTCTCTGCCTCTGGATGTTTTACTTCTTGCGATCAGGGCGCTCCGTACTTGAGCGTAACAAGTATTCAAACCGTCATTACCAGACGTACAGGATGGGAAGAAAAATGCATCGAAGTGCGGTAAGCGGTGCAGCGATCGGCGGTCACGGAATCTGCGAAACTACGAGCGAGCGGGAGAAAGTTCTCTCGCGAGATGCAAGCGCAATTACAGCGAGTGATAAAAGTGCCACTTAGCGCTATAATCTGCGCGTATTTTTACGTCCTTACGATTTGACAGAGAAACGACAGACGGCGAGAAATCAAAATGCCACTTTGCGCCGCAATTTGTCCATGCGTTTTCACGTCGCGTCGGCATTATCCCTTCTTTCCTGCGAATGAAACTACTCGAATTACGAGAGTACCTCGGCATCATGCGACAGACATTCTTTCATTTTGACGCCACGTCGCATGAAATCACGAATTCGCAACATCGCGCGCGGAATATCTCTCTCATTTATTATTCCACGCTCAATGCCGCCCGATGCCGCATGCGCGTGACGTACACCTCTTTAACGTCTTCTTCCCATCAATTTCTTTTTTTTTCTAAGCAGGAAACAATTTGTTTCTTTTTCTTGCGTCAAATTTTTAACGACACTGTAACAAAGACACTCGGACAAACAGATCTAAGCTGGACAGGAACTTACACCGCGAAACAGGGCCGCGAGTGAAAAAAATAAGTCGTCCCGACTTGACCGTGCGATGAGAAGTCGCTTGTTTCCTAACTGTATCATGAATTACGAAACGCTCTGTCTAAGTGAAAGAGCCTGAGACTCGTCGATTAGAGTTAATCATCTTATCAAAGGCGACCAGGCATATTTTTAAAGCGCGCTGCTTCGAGCGGAGACGGGCCATTGGCTTTAGGAAGTCTTCGGCGAGGCAGAGAGGGAACAACATTGGGTACCACCGACGCGGTCCTCTCGTCGCCTAATTGAATGGCATTTTATTTAGCACAGTTCCCCGCACTCTCTGGATAGCCGCCATTTACCTCAATTACGTAATTCACCGTACACAACCGGCCGCGCAGCTACCCACCATGGGCATCGCATGGTGATGGCGTAGCCGATGGCACTAGTGGTGGTGGCCATGGTGGTAGTGGTGGCGGTGGTGCTGTTGCTGCTGCTGTTGCTGATGGTGGTGGTGGTGGTGGTGGTGGTGGTGATGGTGGTGGTGGTGGTGGTGGTGATGGTGGTGGTGGTGATGGTGGTGGTGGTGGTGGTGGAGGTGATGGTGGTGGAGGTGATGGTGGTGGTGGTGGCGGTGGTAGTGGTGGTGGTGGTGGTGGTGATGGTAGTGGTGGTGGTGGTGATGGTGGTGGTGGTGGTGGTGGTGGTGGTGATGGTGGTAGTGGTGGTAGTGGTGGTGGCGGCGGTGGCAGCGGACTGATGACACGTGTTTGCGCTACCGCCGCCGTGCAATTAGCCCCCCAATGTAATTTCGCGCCGTAAGAGCGTGCCACGCTCTTTTGGCCTAGTGCCGTTCCCGCGGGCGCATCGGTACACTGGTATTACGAAGAGGGAAGTGATTTCGTCCAGGGCACGTAAGGAAATTCGAGACGTCCCATGACACGTCTCCTCGTGTTTTACTCTCGCCCGCGACTTGGGCGTTTTTGCACGTCGCAATCACAGCGGCGCTGTTATCGATATCGCTGCTCGCTCGGTCCCCCGTTGCGAGGAACGGGCATCGTCTCCATGACGCAACCATGATTCTTTAAGAAATTTAGTTATCGGTATCGTCGGTGTGCAACAATAACGTACGCACGCCTGTCGGAGTGTCGGAAAATACGCACGGTATCATCGATGTGCTCGCGGCAGGCGGTTATTTATGGCCGGTAAAATTGTGCAATTAATGTTGCGTTCTTCAGAGTATCGGGAATGAGTGTTCGTGTAATTGAAGCACCGAGTCGGTATGCCGGTGAAACGTGACGTAATGTTAATAGACGAGGCATTATCTAGCGAGTAATATCATTGTAGACGATAACCACGCTCGAAGCAGTAATTGTGCTCACTGACTGATCAAGGGTAATTATAATCCAGAAAGAAATGTCTCTAGGTCACTGTGCTACGGCGATGAAACGCCCAACGAGTTCCGGTTTCCAACGTGTTGCCTTGTGTTTTCAAACGCCATCGAGTCCGACCAAGAGATTAGATTTGTTATATCAGCAAACTTTAAGAAATAAAATCGCAAGCGCAATTAAACTTCGAAAGGAGGATACTCAGGACGAGGGATCTCCGCTTAAATTTCACACATCGGTTCTCACTGAAAATGTTACATTTACCATTCAGTCACTCGTGAGCAGGAAGGGGATCGGTCGAGCGACATGTAACCAAAAATAATTCATATTTTAATTGCGCATATTAAAAAGGCGAAGCGCGAAGATGCTAGATCGTGAAGTCAATTATCTTTAAAAATTTAATTACGTTAAATGTGCTGGGTTGTATGGAGTCGATAATCAATGAGTGCGTAAGTACGCGCGGTCGGCACTATTCATGAACAAGATCCGATTTATCTTCACCCGTTGACCCTGCTACCACGGTGCATTCGTAGATATTATCGGCGAAAAGGCGTACCTCGCTTTACGAACTACACTTCACGGTGAAGTTATTCCACGCTTCCGCCGCGTATATATTCATACAGCGCCAAATTGTGCCGATAGAAAGTTCATCGTGTTAATAAGGCGCGAGACAAGCGACGCACAACGACCGTTGCAGTCCTTTCTACGTTTACACGCCCTTCGTGTGTAACGCGCACACATTTAAAAAAATGAAATAAATTACAACGATACGCCCGTTGCGCTAATGATCCATATTTCGATGTAAATTTGCAGGTGGATACGACGCGACGGTCGCGAGAGCATCCGAATGGCCGAGTTGCACCGAGACGCGAACTTGTTGCATCCGCTGCTAATCGTATAGTGAATCATCAGGATTTAATCAGCGAGAGTTCCCTCGTCGAACCAGTCAGCGATAAGCAGTTCGCACTATCGCCAGCGTCGATGTGCATCGTATATGGCAGCGGAAAGGAGAAGGAAAAAATATCGGTCCGTTCAGCTCCACCTCTGTCTGCCGGCGGTCCACTCCCTTCGCGGTGGGTTAATGGGCGGAGCCAAGGACACATCTTTTGCTGCGAACGTGTCGCGATGTTCACACGAGCCGCGTAGCATAGGAATCTACATGGCTCAATCTCAATAATTGCGATCTGACATCGATGAAAAATGAACACCTGTTACGTCCCGATAAGTGCCGTAAGTCCCGAGTAGCCCAAATATTGACAATGATAACTCTCGCTGCCTTCTACTCAGGAATGTATATGTCGATCATGCTTTGCACCCAATCGCAAGAAAATTAATAAAGTTGTGATACAGGTTCGAAAAACTAAATACCCGATGCTGTCAGTTTTCCAGGACTGTGCGAATACTAATTTGGGCGGTATCCAAGACTCCTGATAGAATCTATCGAATTAAGTGTCAAACGGATATATGAATATAACAACTATATATTCGGTTTACATTGATGGCACTAATGAACAAACAATTGATTTAGTAATAGCATAGAAGTACGATAAAAATTAGAGACTCAATGTCCATATTAATGATGTCAATATTTGTTTATCCGGGTATATACCGGGCTATTGCCCTTGGGTCTTTCGAATTTTTGCAAGATATCTGTCTCAGGTAATACTTAAGGATAATGCCAGCGAATTTGAGCAACTGAAAGGTACTCAACAATCCGGTTTATAATGACAGCACTCGTATAGACACAACTCGATTTCTCAAAATACCCAAATCAATCCGTAAATAACAATACAGGAAACCAGGTATGACTGCCTAATAAATCCGAATCGCTTTGTACCGTTGGAGATATGGAGGATGAGGCGCGATAAACATTTTTTCTGAAATAAAGATATCGCTATCGAGATTCAGCAAATTCTCTGTATCCGAGACGACTAACAACTTGATAAGATTGTTCACGGATACAAATAACAACATGTCGAAACTCAAATGAACTCTCAACAATTGGGTCTCGGTACTCAGTCAAGTACTCAGCAATCGGAATGTCACTCGTGGTCCTCTCACCTCCTGGTCCAGATCACAGTGAGCCTGATAGTGCGACTCAATGAACGAATCTAACAACCAAAGGAATAACAGACGCAACTCCATGGTGCCCCGGTAGCTCGCTGAGCGCGATATCTCTGGCCTTCCCCGCGTATTCCACCGCGACGATATCTACCGAAACCAGCACGCGCGACGAACGAGAAGGATTCTCCAGGCAGGTATAGCGCGAACACCTTTGCGTTCTAGTCGCCCCGAGGGCGTCCGGGTGGACGTAGGCAGGATCGTCTTGCAGTAACGCCTACGTAGATACCATAATGGCCTCCGCGAAGCCAACCAGCGCCGCTGACGTCACGAGCGAATGGTAGGGGTGTGCGCGACGCGCCAATCGCGAGAGCGCGCGGCGCCCGCCACAGGCGTGGCCTTGAGTGGCGCCACCGCGGCGACTTTCAGAAACGATGAATCGGGCTCCGGGGAGAGGCTCCGGCTTCATTATGTATCATTATACCGGTCCGCGCCGCGCGGTGTGCATGCAGTTACTGGAACCAGGCGCGCGCGTGTGTGCTTTTCTCTCTTCTTCTACGCTCTGGCCGTCGCCTTCTTCTTCTTCCCTACCTACTTCGCCCAGCCGGTACGTTTGCGTATACATCGAACGTGCACAATACGCTCTCATCGGCCAAGTAATCGTGGCGCGACGCGTGTAAAAAGCACACCGTCGTCGCCGCCGACGTCGAGAGCGACGTACGCGACGCGCGTGTGGCACGGTGTGGCAATTAAATCGTCGGCGACGAACGCGAGTGTCGGGTTACCGAGGGCAGTAACAAATTAGCGCTATTGGCCGAGTGGAAGAAACCGAGGATTTCGGTGTCGCCGCGGTGTCGCGCAGCCGTCCGCCACGCGGATCAGTTCGCGGACTATCGACGCGCGGCAGTGTGTCTGGTGACCGTCCATCGTGGAGTGGCAGCAACTCATGTTGCAGTGACAGAGTGACGTTCCGTGACAGGTGCAACGTTGCAACTGCGCGAGTAAGGAGGACCGATAATGTCGACGATTCGGTTATGCCGTCGCAACGCGTCTCCGTTTGGTGGCCGAGCTACGACGAGGTGACGCACGGCGGTGACCGGACAGTAGCACCGATTGCGGACTTATTGGGTCGGCACCCAGTGTTTCCGCGCCCGTTCCACGGTGAGGACTACGCGTGTGTAGTGGACGTGTGACAAGTGGTGCCTCGAACTGGGAAGTCTAAAGAAGCGGCCGAGCGATTGATACGGATACGTGCGACAGAGACCACGTCGTCGAGGTAATGAGAGGAGAAGAAAAGTGAAATAGATCCCCCCCCCCGTTACCATTACGTAGTGAGCCTGGGTGAAAAGGGCGACAGAGAAGGCGGCAGTGCGCGACCTTACGGGAACGATCCGGTGTGAATGAACAAACCGGTGCTGCACCTCGTGTGTCCCTCCGCAGTGCGGACTATCAGCGCGCGAGCATCGGCACAACCCGTGAGCCGGGACAACCGACGGCGACGGTTGTTTCTCGCGACCTAATGACGACTCGCCGCTCCGTCCACCACCCTGACGTAGTTCCGTCGACATAGCTGCACGAGGCACGCGCGGTGTGCTCGTGGCTAGGCCCCAAGATTCGGGCCCCATACGGAGCGCGCGCGGCGGCGACGACGTCGTCGGCGAGTTTGGCGGCTAGGACTTTGGGCTGTGGCGGCGGCATCGACGTCGCGTCTAAAGTGGAGCGTCCGGGCAGCACGACGACGCTCAACTTCACGGATCTGGGGAGCCCATTCGGGGCGGGCGACCCCTGTCCGTCGAGTACCCCGACCCCGAACAGCATGTCGGGCGGCGGTGGACCGGCCGGCGGCGGCGGTGGCGGAGGCGGCGGCGGCGGCGGTGCCGCCGGTACCGGCGGCGCCGGCTCCGATATGGAGCAGCATCTTCATCACGCGGGCCTCGGCTCGGTGACGCCCGGGCCACCCGGCGGAAACGGTGGCGACAGCACCACGTCCAGCACACCGGTCTCCCAAAGCGGCAAGTCCGCCTTCATCGAGCTCCAGCACAACAACCTCTACAATCCCGCGAGCCTACGCGGCGGCTACCCGGGCGGGCACAACGTGCCCGGCGCGCATCAGTTCTCGCATCAAGTCGGCTCGCTGGCGCACCAGGGTTCCGGGCCTGGCAGCGGGAATCAGCAGCACGCGGACGCGGGTTTCCCCAGTCCCAGGTCCGCGTTGGCCGGATATCCGTTCGCGCCCATGCACCAGCACAACGCCTACGGATATCACCTGGGATCGTACGCCCCCCAATGCCCCTCGCCGCCCAAGGACGGTGAGTACCCCAACTGTATGTATTCGCAGCCTTTTTTATTCCTACTCTTAGACACGTAGATTAGTTTTAAGCCTCTCCGGTGCTCTCCGTTCCCTGCGGCCGTGCCCGGGGCCGTCGCTCGTTGCCCCAGCCTGCTCCAGTCGTCGGCTCCAGTGCACCGTGTCGATCGTGAAGTCGCGGAGAACCGACCGATCGGCCGAAACCGATCTCGCGTCCCCTCCGCAGCGGACGAGTCCATCGCACTCCTGCGAGGAGTGCAGTTCGCGCGAATGTGGCCCGCGACTGTGCCAAGTGCCCGCACACGGAACGGAGACGCCGCGCCGCGGTCAATCCGCCCGCAGGGCTCAAGGCGAGATTACCGCGTGATCGGTGTCGCGCGACGTGCAATTGCTGCGGCACTATGAGAATCCCTTTTGCCGATTCCGTCAACCGCGATTCGAGTTCTCACGCGAATAAGTGCATCTTCCTCGCACTGGCTGAGTCTCAGGGCGATCAAGTCAAGCCGGCAACGGCAAGCCGAGCCGGTGAATCGAAAGTTTCAACATCGTCGGAAGAAGATCGGAGGCTTGAGCTCGCTTCTTCCGTAAACGTCAAGTTCCAACACTCTCGCCTTGAGCCTTGTCTTTTAGATTTAGATAAATAAGCTCCCTCTTTTCGGGGGAGTCGCGCGCGCACGCGCCATTAGCCCCCATCGGTGGGTCGACACTTGGTCGACTTTGTGTTGAAAAAGCAAATATTGTGCCAGCGACGTGTAACATTTGTCAAGAACGATACGGTCACTTTGACGTGGCACACAAATAAGACGGCGACAGGCATTTCCGCTCCGGGTCGTCCGTATATTTTACAGCGTTTTATTGTTACGACTTTATCGTACGACCATAGGGACTTTATTGCCGCTTAGCGAGTATCCTCGGCCGTGCAGGGGCGGCCAACTTGTGTCATATCTCTCTTCATTCGTCGTTCCATGAAGAAAGAAGCAAGGCGCCTCGCTGCCGCGATTTGCTCGGCGTCGCGTCGTAGACGCACCGACTCGCGGCGGTCTGCTTCGAGTCAGTCCAGTCGTTCGTTTGCTTCGTTGCTTCCTGAATGCGACGCTTTCTATCAAGTTTACAACCCCGAATCATTTTATGTTGGGAAACTCGGGAAAGTTTTTGCGGCGCCATCTCTCGCTTTTGTCTTTTCCTTTCTTTTCCTCTCGGAATTTTTCGACAATAGAAGACAGGCAAACGAGAAGGAATTTAGAGCAGCAGGTAGAGCGGCGTGTTCCGACGGCACGATACTGAGAAATAATATCTAGGAAACGAAGGAATGCCAGAATTCGAAGGAGGAAAATTCCCTGTGAACGCGCCGGGTGAAACAATTCGAAGGCCAACGGTAGGCAAGTAGTCGCAGCGACGGACAGCTCCAAAATTTCCTCCGATTACGTCGCTTCCTCCGTCGTGTTTTTTCTTCTCTCATTCTTCCCGGAATCGGCACGACGTAATCACGATTTTATTCTCACCCGCGAAATCGCCAGTCAGCTAATTGCGATCATTATCGGACGCTCCTGCTTCGTCGCGGCTCGCAGGATCGCTCGAGGCGCCTCGAAATGTGACCGTCGATCTTACGGCGCGGCTGCTGCCTACTGAATACTTCGCCGCGGGAATTTCGACAAATGAAGCCGAATGCCTAATTCGAGACACGGCCACTCTCGACGTCCACTTGACGAGGGAAGGACACAGCAGTGTCGGAGGAGTGTCGCGCGCGATAAACACAAACACACACTACTCTCGCCCCGCGCAATCTCCTTAGCCCACCGATGACACTATAAATCGCGTCGGCGTCCCGTCGAAGCGCATGTTTCACCTGGCCACGAGAGTGCGCCCGACGCGGTCCCAGCGGTAGTCTAAACACGGTTGCGCCTATATCCACGGGATATCGTATCGCGAAATCGCGTGATCGAGATAACTTATTTCGCCGGAGGAGGAGGTCCGCCGTCGCCGCGCGCGCGCGCATGCAGCGCGCGCGGCGGCGGCCTCCACGCGGTGACATTCGCCCCGGCTCCTTTGGTCGATTGCATTTTCAAATATAGCCCGGATACCGGCTGGAAATATCCCGCGGCCGTGGCAACATTCGGCGAATAATTCATCGCGGCGGACATGCGCCGCGCGCCAAGTGCGGAGCAACGAGGAGGAACAACTCCGTCGACGTGCTTAGGCAAACGTTTCTCGCAGGAGCGCAACCGACAACCGGCACCGGCGACAGTTCACCTACCCTCCATCTGCGTTCCATGAATTCGTAACGACCGCGGCATGTCCACCCCCATCCCCCACCCCGACGACATCGCGACAGCCGCTCTGAAAGTCCGGCATTTCTGCGTAATCTACCGCGGCGACCCTCGCATCAGGCGCGTAGGCAATTTTCACGGCGCCTCTTTCGAAAATTACCCGGTGAGCACTCGACGGTCGGAGAAGGGCAGAGAGGAAGGAGGCGAGGGGAGGGAGGAGTCGAGAGAGAGAGAGAGAGAGAGAGAGAGAGAGAAAGGGTTCGCCGCGGAAAAACTTCCACCGACGGGAAGAATCCAGGCGCGGCGAGCGAGCGAGCGGATGACCATCGCCGAGCGATCGCTCGTCAGAGGGTTGAATTCTCACGGGGGGTTGCGACGCGCGCTCGGAAACGCGGATGCGTTTTGCCGCTAAATTCACGGTCATTTTCCCCCCCGGCATGCGACTCATGCGCGGCAACTCGCTTTTCATAAATCGCACGGCGGCGTGGGCACGCCGCGCCACGTCGCGTCGCGGAAAACTTGGGGGTCGAGAAGGGCGTCATTCCGGTATTTCCACGCGGGGAAGTTTCCTCGCGAGATTCCGCCGCCGAGGACGAGACGCGGCGCTCGCTTCCCTCGCGAGCGAAGACAACGTACGCGCGCGAGTCGGAGTGTTGGCTCCTCGTCCCGCGTTAATTCAATTAATCGAGTGATAAATATGTGATCGCAATTGGGGGCCCCCTCCCCCTCCCGCCTAATTGCCGACGGACACGCCACTGTTTGTGCATTCCGCTCGGTGGATGACAGCAATTCTGTCGTTTGTAGCCGCCTGGACGCGCGACTCCGCGCCGAGTTAACTCGATTAGTCCGGAATGATTTCGATTAACCGATTAAAATAACAGTGACGCGCTAATTGCGCGCTGTAACAAGCGCGCATTCACGCGCGGTCGATTCGCGCCCGCGCCGCGACGGCGCGTCCCTATATAAAATCGCAATTTGCCGGGTGATTGTGTGAAATTCGGATGAAGAAGGAACCGCGGTGAAGGGACGTTCGTCCGATTGTAACGCGAGGAGGAAGCCGGCGGGAGGCCGAAGGCAGCGGCAACGGCGGCGATCTCGTCGGTCGTCAATCAAGGCGGACGTCAGGCAACGTCCATAAAAAAAGACGCGATAATGAAGACACAGATAAAGAAAAATATATCGTTGCAACCGAGCGATGGAGTATCGCCGTGTTTTCCAAACGAACGACGGCCGGAGACTGAATCCACCGAAGTAATTGACAAGTCCCGCGCTTTTCGCAGCCTGACGACGCCAGATCGATCTTTCACATGACGCCTCGACGACGCTCACACGATCGAGCCGCAATGTTAAGAGCGCGCGCGCGCAAGGCCGCCATCGTGCGGCGACGGCATCGTCGTCGAACAATCGGTGTCACCCAACCCGTCGTCGTCGTCGTCGTCGTCGTCGTCGTCGTCCAAAATGTCAACACGTCGTTTGACTTTCGCCAGCCGACGTTCCTCGCCGGCGAGCTGCGGGGCCACTTCGGTTGCGCCCGTTCGCAATCAACGCGCAATAAATCCGCGATCGTAACGTCGGCGTCGGCGCAATTACGAGAACGTTTCCCTGGGAGTTTAGCCCGCCGACACGCGGAGTCGCGTCTGAGAACGCCGGCGATCGCGGTTACCCGTGGCGTTGGCATTAAACGCTCTTAGAGCGCGGTTCGACCAGCGCTAATGAAGCTGTCCGAGATTATACGAGAGCGTGAGCGCGACGAGCAGCGAGAGCTCGGTAAGAAGGGGTTGTCCTGAGACCCGCGGAGCGTGTCCACGGAGCGTACGCTCTTAGCCGTCTTCGCGCACCCTCGGCCAATCTTGTCGTTGCGACAAATGAACTGGCCATTAGCCGGCCTGTCTCCGCGCGCGCGCGCGCGCGCGCATCCGCGTCGCACCCGTTGTCCTTCTTTCCTCGGACGTGACCGAAGCCGGGATCCAATTAGCAAGGATCCCCTCCAGTATCGGCCGGGGCCCTGCGATGTGTCTCGCATCAGTCACTTGACCTGACGCCCGACCACCACCGGCCGAATTAATCCGAAACGGTCGGGAGACAATGCGTAGGCCGGGTCTGAGTGATGGATTAGGTATTAAACGCTTGTTTTCACAAGGATTAGGTGGTACATCAACGCGCAACGGGAAGCACGGCGGCCCGGTTCTTCAAGTCCTGTTGCCGCTTTGGGACGGCTCGGCCAGGGACCGGGTCAGATTTGCGCGGGAGTCCTGTTTTCTCCGCGGATACGCGAACAGATGTGATGTGATCACCGCTGATCTCCGGAGTCCTGTCGCCTGAGCGGCGACAGGTGTTGGGCTTTCAATGATCGGCAGAGGGTCGAGACGAGCCTACATGAATATCGAGAGAGACGTCTCAATCAGACCTAAAGGATATTTACTCGGAATAGGAACGATGCGAATAAACGGTCAATTTCGTATGTCTCTGGGCGGGTCGGTAAAAACGCTTCCGACCGGAGGAGAAACAGAAGTCCGGCTTCCATAAAACGGAACGTAGACTCCACAAGACAGATGTTATCCGGGAATTACGGATCAGACCACCGCGAGTCCGAAGTCTGGGATTGGTCGGTTTAGAAATACAGCCGGTCGCAGCCTACGCTCGGGGACAAGAACATTTTCGTTTGTACGCAAACACCGGAACACGGAGAGAGAGAGAGAGAGAGAGAGAGAGAGAGAGAGAGAGAGAGAGAGAGAGAGAGAGAGAGAGAGAAGGCATTCAGGGAACTTTTGCATCATCGGCACCGGGCGCGCGCGCGCGCGCGCGCAGTGTGGTAGCGATGTTGAAATGCAAGATGTCGTTAGACGGCGACAATGTTAGACAGGTTGTGCCGAGAGTCCAGCCTAGGGCCCGGACGGACACCTTGTAATTTTGAGTTCTTTGGATTGAGAGCCGCGCGCCAACCGTGTGATTATCAACGTCGCATTAATCGCTCGCTAGGCTTATTATCATGCGGCTCGGTTCGGTTTGATTACGCGACTCCGAGCGAACCTTCAGCGATGCGAGGCGAGGCGGCGCTGCCGAGGTGTGCGCGCGTGCACCGCCGCGCAAAGTAGCACTTTGCGGCAGTTTCTGCCGCGGCGTGTGCACTTTGCATACACGCCTCGGTGTTAACAACCATAACCCTATCCTACCACCCGAGCCCCTGTCCTACCCCTCGAGCAGCGAGTGAGCTCCTGCGGAGAGAGAAAAGTGCGCCCATAAAGCAGTACCTCGGTCTTTCCACGCGCCCGCGCGTGTGCGGCTTCCGCTCTCTCGACATCGCGTCGAGCCTTAACCGGCCGCAATTAACAAACGGCAGCTCCGTTCATCGCCGCTAACGCGGCTCTATCAAATTTATTGCCCGCCATGTTGCGCACCGCGATGCACCACCGCGCGACCACCGCGTCGATGAAGGCTTTTCGAGACCGTGGAGGAGCCGTGAGATACATCGTGCGCTATCGAAGGTAATCCGGCAGGTCTTCCGGATCTCTTGATCTCACGACTTACTTTTATATTCTCTGCAATGTGAATGTTTTTCTGTTTTTCTTATACCACGAGCACGCAAGTCTTGCGTGCGCAAAGCATCGCGCGATGCGTCTCGAGTTTATCGGTGAGGAGAAACGAAGAGCGACTACGACGAGCCAACATTGTGTCGCTTTGAGACACGCCGGAGTCAGGTCGCGATTGAGGTCTCTCGTGGCGACTTTTCGAGATCATGCGCGTTCGGGACGCATCGTCTCGGGATTACACGAGCGCAAACATACAATCGCATCGCCGTGACGCGATGTAACACTGAACAGATGGTTCATGGCGGGTCGTTGTTGTCTCTTTTACGCGCGCGCGCGCGATCACAGTCTCTCCCGTTGATCCTCCATCGAGACGAGCGTCAATGCTCCTTCGCTCGCCGCCGAGATGACACACGCTCGTGTACAAATCACGAAGAATCACGCGCGCGAGCTCGCCCGGCGGCTCGCCGTAAATTACGCTAATTAATAGTCCAGCTAATTGTTGTGGAGAAGGGGGCGAGACAGAAGGCTCCCGCTTCGAGTTGGCGCGCCACGTCGCGTCGCTAATTTGCGCAGCCTCGGCGTCGATATCTCTGTTTGCTCGCCAACATTGATCGCACATCTGCCTGCTGCCTCGCGGCCGAGCGATGAAAAATCGCTCGCCGGAAAATCGCGCCGATGTCGATGTTTTACGTTAAAAGCGCGCGTGGCTCTCCTCTTCTTCCCCCGATCTGCTCTCTTTCTTCCTCCCTCTTTCGGGGAGGACGAGTCGCACGCGCGTCCGTCTCCCCGATGAAAACACGCAATGCGTGTCGTAATCGCAATATAAAAATAATGAAACAGATTCCGCGCGAGAGATAGGCGACGCCGGCGCGGACGCTGGCGCGATGGGCGCCTCTCCATCGAGCCACGCTGCTTCATTGCATCGCTTTAAGATTGATATATGGTTCCGTAATTAATTACCGCGCAATTAACGCGCGCCATCGCCGTAGGTGCTTTCTCCCGACGCAACGAGGGCCACGCATCTCTCTCTCTCTCTCTCTCTCTCTCTCTCTCTCTCTCTCTCTCTCTCTCCCCCCTCTCTCTCTCTCTCTCTCTCTCTCCCCCTCTCTCTCTCTCTCTCTCTCTCTGCATTGTGCTGATTATCGTAATACACTGTACACGCATTGAATAATGCATTTACTTTATCAGATAATTGTGCGCACCTTGTCGAATAAAATATTCCAAATTATTTATGTTACAGCTCCTCTAGCTCTGTTCTCCGAGAAAAAAAAGGCGCGTATTAGTTCCGTTAGTTTTTTCGAGACTCTGTGAGACTCTCTCTCTCTCTCTCTCTCTCTCTCTCTCTCTCTCTCTCTCTCCCCCTCTCTCTCCCTCTCTCTCGCGTGCCTCATTCAGCATCCTCTTCTCCTTTTCGCACGGATTCTTGCTTGAGGCTCGTCCAGTCTGAAACTCGTAGGTCATAATTAGCCGTAAAAAGTGCGATGCTTTATCATGAAAATGAGAACTGCGGAGAATAACCGTAAGTAATGACCGTGAAAAATATGAAAAACTAACATGATAACGACGCAACACTTTATGATTGCGACTGTCGATTCTCTTTGAGAAGAAACATCACCTTGTCCTTTAGTTTGCACGGTAATTTCTTATCATTTCTCCCGCGCTATCTGGTGTCGCGCTATCTCGGGTAAGATCTGCTTTATTAACGGCAAGTTCATTAATGTCACCGAGAGCACAACAACAACAACAACCATAAGCCTCCTCGCTCGCGTCGAGGCGATCGCGATGACCAGTGAGAAGCGTGTATACGCGAGCTAGGTTTTAGTTTGATTTATTTTTAGTTCGTACGCGAGCAGTGACGAGGATTCTGAAAGTTGATGTTAGGGTGGTGCATGTTCGCAGACCTCTCGCCATTGGGTGATAAAAGCGGAAGCCTCGTCGACGAGCTCGGCGGCGGCGGCGGCGGTTCCCTCAGGAACGGCAAGGGCAAGAAAATGAGGAAACCGAGGACGATTTACAGCAGCCTGCAATTGCAGCAGCTCAACAGGCGGTTCCAGAGAACGCAATACCTCGCGCTACCGGAGAGAGCAGAGCTCGCGGCTAGTCTCGGACTCACGCAAACACAGGTCAGTTGTAATCGACATCGAGCCGACGAACTAGAACGTAAGCTTCCCATGACAAAGTCGCGCGACGATAACACTCGTATACGTCGGGATAATGACGTAAACAAACTATGATAAACGGTTAGGCGCAGAAACGGCTAAATGTGAAGTGGTTGTGCGTCAGCGCGCACGTAAGCACTTCTACCGTAAATATTCCGAAGATTGTCGTTTACAGTTTCGGCGTTCGAGGCGCATCGACGATAAATATCGAGAGGGAATTATCGTTTGAATTATTTCCCACTTGACTCTGAGTGGCCTCGCTTCGCTCGGTTTGCAGTTTGATCCGACCAAATGCAATGGTGCGCCTGTTCGGAAATTTATCGTGGAAATTATCGCGATATATTTAAACACGTGGCGGGTCTCATGATGGGACAATTTGTTCCTCGTGTTTTTGCGGCAGGAATTCAACTCCTGGATTTGAATTTCAAGCTCGCAGCCTAATCACCCGCGCAGAACGGTGTGGCGGTGCACGTATATCTGTCGGACGATAAAATGTTCACGAAGTAAATTCCCGCGGGTGGAACAGGTTCTCCGCTGTCCGATATGCGTTATCAGGAAATACGGTCGGAAGGCACCTTTCGAACCTCATAAAGAAAAGAAACAATTGCACGGGTGGAAGATAATACGTCGCGTAAAAACTCGGTCGTACAGGAGTTGCGCTCATCGTTATGCGCTAAATTGTCGTGCTAATTACGACGAATCTCTCTCTCTCTCTCTCTCTCTCTCTCTCTCTCTCTCTCTCTCTCTCTCACTCTCTCTCACTCTCTCTCTCTCTCTCTCTCGACGGGTTCCAAAATTGCCTCGAAACGGCATATCGGCGGCGCGTTTTCTCGATGCACGGATCTAGTTGCGTGTTCGCTCCAACGTAACAGGATCCCCGATGGACGGCATCTGTCAGCATTATCGGCACAAATGACTTTACTAAATCACCGATCCGCCACGCCCTGGACAGCGGGGATAGGGTTGCCGTCAGTGTCCAGTGTACCGCGAGAGGGAGAGAGAGCGAGAGACAAGTTTGCGCGGAGCTAACGAGGTAGCCATAAATTTTCTGCCGGCGATCGCGCGAGTTTCGCGCGGGCTTTTCACACGGGCGGAGCTTTGTACGCGCGCCGGCGAAAAACTTTCCGCCAATTATCCGTCGCGTGGTTTCCAATTAACGATTTATTAGGAAGCTTGAGCCACACACGGTCAGCGAGTAATTGGGTCCGGGGTCTCCTTGTCCCTCCTTGATCCGCTGCAGGTCGCCGCGGGGACGCGATAATTTATCGACGATCCAAAAAGCGAGAGTAATCCGAGGCGAACTCGCGGCACTGAAGCCATTGGAAATGTGCTCGCACGAGTCCACCTCGTGTCTTCAACGACGACTTGTTAGTAAACAACGAAGCCTCTGATGACTTGAGTGTGATGTCCGCTACTTCCGTCGAATTACGGTCGCCGGCGAAATTGCAAGCTTTTTCGTGCGAAATTACGCGTCTCGTTGTCCGATACGACACGAGATGAAGCAATTTTCGCGGTTGCTCTTTGTGCGTCTCCCACCCTTCGGGGAAGAAGTGCACAATCGTAGCGCGTATGGTGCAGCGCGTAACTGCGTATCGCATAATCACGGGATAACTGGCTGTCGTAGCTAGTTGATGTCGTTGCAGGGGGTCCCGGACCGGATAATTTCATTAGTCGGAGCACCGCAGGAGTTGCTCTCCCTCCGTGAGCGAATGAATCGAGCACAACGCAACCTGATGAGCAACCGCCATCAGGTTGTTTACTAAACATCTCTGTTCGAGGTCAGCGGCAGCTACTCGGTAGTCGGAAATTAAAATCATGATCCCCCGGCAAATTATCCGCTGCGTATCTTCTGCTACGCGCGTTATCGGTATATCTCACGTTGCTCGCCGCGTCGAATAGAGTAACGGACGTGAGCCGATGGAGATCAAAGTCTGCCACATATCGATCTCCATCCGCGATCGTTGGGATGGTCGCTCAATAACGATCCCAAAATTTGCACATCTCTCGAGAGTTCTAACGAAAGAAAAAACAAAAAAAAACTGCTGAATCTCCGTTTGATTTCATATCCGATAAAACGTCTCAAGATTTCTCAGAATGAAGGGAATGACTTATATCTGCTGCAGGAACTCTCTCTCTCTCTCTCTCTCTCTCTCTCTCTCTCTCTCTCTCTCTCTCTCTCTCTCTCTCTCTCTCTGCGGCTACGTAACGAAGAATGTTCACCGCGCGATCGGTGCAGCTCTTCAGGGGGCACCGTGCATAATCAGTAATCGCCCAATCAAGGCGTTCGAGCAAGCGCCTCTGCCTCTGCACTCTTGGCCCTGCTACCGTCGCGTTGGCTTTCTTGTCATCGCCACCAACATGGCGCCTTAGCCTTCAGACTCTTCCATCTTCTCTTCTTTCCTCGTCCCCTCCCTTCCCCACGTCACGACAACCAAGTCGTCCCCCCGGCGATCTCCCCTCGCATTTCCCCACCGAGAGTCTCTCTCTCTCTCTCTCTCTCTCCATTCTCCTTCTTCTCTTCCTCGTTTCCTTCAGCCTCAGATGAGCAAGAGAGCGAAAGAGCGGCGCGGGGAGGGGCGGGGTGGGGAGGGGAGTGCCAGTGGTGGTGAGGATCGAGGTGAGGCCACGCATCTCTTTTTCTCCGGGACTTCAATTTGAGGACGTGGTAGCGTTCGTGCCGCCGGTGTACACGAGGTACGCGAAGAGAGTTCGCGGTGGCCAGAGGGGGAACCGAGCGACGGATGGAGAGTCGGGGGAGGAGCGGCGGGAGGGGGGGAGGGAGAGGGGGTTGGTGAGCAGAGAGTACTTGCACACGCGAAGTACATGGATACACGCTCTCGATCGCGCGGATGTATACGTAGGGACGTGGGCACCAACACGCCCGTCTGCGTTCCTGCCACGTACCTTGGGCGTGGTGCTTCCTTTTTCTTCCTCCTCGCCGCGGTTAACGTGCCCGATCTCTCCTCATTGGCCCCGGGAATGCGAACACGTCGAAGCGAGATTCGAAAGTCGCGGGAGGGAAGCGCGCGAGGACGCGACGTGAATTCGAAATCCGGCTGGGATCTCGTGTAGCGCGGGAGATGCGGAGTTAGCATCCTCGTAGCTTTTGCAACTTCACGGGCAGCCGAGACGGCTCGGGGAGTCCCCGTGGAAACTTACGGGACTTGTACAGAAACGAATTGAAAGAGGGACGATGTACTTGGACTATTCGCGTACGCACCAATTGGTTTGCGTATTCCAATTGGACGCGGGCCCAAGTTAGCCCTGTTGGATTGGACTGTAGGTCAGGTTAGGCTAGGCTGGGTTCGATTCACCTCATACCCTATACTCGACTGGTTCTCAGCGATGGTCTAATAGCGAATTCGACTTATCTCATATGAAAGTTCTGGTGCAGGAGTTTACTGCCGCAACAACTAGTAGTGGTGAAAGCTAGTTGGTCCACCGGGGACTCTAATGATGCGTAGAATTATACGCCTGTTTCTCTTGGTGCCTCTCTTTGCTGGCTGATTGGAGATTGCCTGACCAAGTCACCTACACGTTGAGCCTACAGATTCTCAAGTTAGATAAACCAACGACCCTGGGCTTTAAATCTCTGGCAAAAGAGAGGCTCGCAGCAATATTAGACATTGTGCGCATTGTCTTCTTCAACGTGCCTACAGAGTCGATACTTTGCGTTCTCTGTGAGACCAAGGTTAAATGGATAATTTATCAAGGGCTGTGACAGCCCTGCTACAACGCTGATTCTTCACTCGTTCAGTGGCAGAAACTCGTTAGGCTTGCTGGGTAATGAATGGTAAGGTCTTGAGCTAGCGACAACCCTCGCGAACGTTCCGCAGCTCAGAAGTACTGAACGTTTCGTCAAACTAAACTACACGGGATACGAATATGAACTGACTACAAACTGACTTTGTAACGTTCTCAACTCCGTGATGAAATTGTCGTCTCAGTTTCCGACTTGGATTTCCAAACGAAAAGAAATTACGCGTCAGAAAGCTGGCGCGAAACGCGCTCAAGGTCCTAGGAGATCTAAACCACCGTCACGTAGCACCGGATAGCACGCGATATAGCTTCGCGGAAAAGTGCCGCACACGACATCATCGAAAACGCTGCTCATGCAAATAGATGAACGCGCGACTAACTATTATTCATGCATGAATGCGCCCACTAACGCGAGTGGTGTACATCGCTCGCTACCGTTCATCGTTGTCTCCATGTTGGAATGTTCGCGTAAGAACTGACAAAAGGGAAAGAAGCATTGTTAAATCGACGCGGCGAAAACTGGACCTTGGATTTTCAGAAAGTCCAGCCAGCCTGATTTGGATTTTTCTCTTTCGACATCGACATCTTGCAGTTTTCAGGCAATTCATATCGCTTAGTCCATAAATAAAAGGAGTGAAAATATATCAGCATCAGATACTGATATTCGTCCAATTTTTAACTGCAACATGACTTTGCACTCCGAGATATCTATCAATTCGTCGTCAACTACAATTTTAATCTGGTACATACGTTTCAAACGTGTTTCAATCGGATCTTTTCGAGGAAACAAAGTAGCACTTATCCTAGGCTTTCAATCGTAAAAAAAGAAAAGAAACAGAGAAACTTGTGCTCTCGATCCTGCAATCCTGCAGTCCTGCAGATTAAACGCACACATCGCGCCATGTCACAGATCGCCTCGTGAGATCCCAATTTATCACGCAAAAAGTTGCAAAACACACTGCAGCGAAAATCACGCGAGACCACGCGAGATAAGACGCGGCGTTGGATTCCGAAAGCCTTTATGCCGATCGGATCAGTCTCAAGAGAGCGCGAGAGAGAAGCGGATTAGCCCAGATCACGTTCCCCAGACGCTATCCAGTCTCTGACCAGTCCTCCGTCTCCCTCTCTCTCTCTCTCTCTCTCTCTCTCTGCTCCAACTAAAATCATTATACGGTTTTTCTCCCTTTTTCCGGCTACTGCCGCAA